CTTCAGGCGGAATCCCATCGGCTCCGACACACTTGCCGTTTCGCTGCCGGACAAGTACTCGCTGTCTCTCATCATGCGTTAGTTTGTCTGCACGACACATCTTCATCTCTTGCTGTTGTAGTCTATCTCCGATCGGTTGTTTAAAAAACATCTGAAATGTTTTCACTAGATCTGCATTCTGCAGTCTCTACTCAGGCAGCGCCTGAAAGAGCATCGAACATCGTCCTCAATGACTGCAACGTTAGTCTACATTCTATCTGCCAGGAGTCAAATTATTCGTTATGGTGGTGCGATTTCGGCTTTTAATTCCATCTGTTTCACCTTTTCCGTCCACCATGCATGCTTGATGCGACGGAACTCTCGAGACACTGGTCATGGATGTTGGCGAAAATGACTGGCCTTCTCGAAGTCGTCAGGATCATGCATATGTGCAGCGAACGCTGCATTCTTCGCCGACATCAGTGCGCCCATGGTCGCACTGTTTTCATCAAACCAAACGATCTGCTTCCAGTTAATGTGCCCAAAGGTTTCTTCGGCAGCGGCCGTTACCTTCTCACGAGCGTGGTGCCACAGGTCGCCCACTGAGGCTACGGGTTCGACATCAACGAGGCGGGTAGCCATCGCCTTCTCCAGTTCCATCCTCTTCTCCACAGCAACTAAGGAACGGAAATTAAGTTTGCGCTAGTTCACAGTGGTGGAACAATACTTAGATTTACGAAAATATATGTAAAATCTAGTCCACAAAAAGTTGTGATCATTGCCACACTCAGCTCTACACAGTACACGCGCCATGCGCACTTCACGCTGGTGGAGGATGACAGTAGTGCAAGTGAGTGTGACCACCACTATGTGGGCGTGTCCAACTTGCCATCACTCGCATTCAGCGCAAACTGTGTTTTCGTCATCTCCAGTCTGGGAGTGGCCTATCGGCTAGGCCAATGTCATACGGACCTGTTATGTCTGTCTACACCGAAGCACAACGCCCAACTCGAGCGTTGAAAGCACCCAGCAGAAATAGTCGGTCGCTCCTCCGCACTGACTGTATCACATAGGATGATTGGGTGTAGAACTGACCACTCGTATCTTCAGGACAACACATGGTGGGACCATACGGGCTAATGAAAGTGACAAACTTACCTCTTCCTAGTCGCAGACGGAGAGTCATCAGTCGTGAGCTGATGCCATCCGGCTCTGCCACAAGCTGGCCATTTACGCGATCAAATGGTGCAACTTCGACCCCATATTCACGTGGTGCTGTGGTAACGTTCCCCACCCAGTACAACGTGTAACCCCCACCAGTCTCATGCAGCTTGCCTTGGTCAGCGAATCGATTCTTGCTGAGTGCAGCAATATCGATCATTTAGCCTGCGTGTTCCATCGTTACCTTGCATAGCGTCGCTCGGGACGCTTACTGCTATTCCGGCCAAGTGCGCACGTTCCAGCACCCGATTTTGAGCGCTTTGCGCGGAGGCATACGATTGCGTCGGCGGGCAATCGTATGGATGGTGACAACCTGGTTTGGAAGAAGTGGTGGGTTATGTGAAACGGGGACATGATGTGCTTGTCAACAAGAAAGGTGGTGCCCGCGTTATTATGTTTTCGATGTTCCATCCCGCTGTATGCAGCTGGTAAGGCGACCCTTTTCCTAAGACCACTGCGCGGTGGCCGACGCCGCTTGAGATTATTTGTATTGGGTAATACATGGATGTGGGTTGGACTAGAATACTGTCAAGACGCCCACACCTGACAAGAGAAAGACTCTGATCCTCAGCCAAAGCCTTCGATAAGTATACACTCGAAAAGTTGCGGGCAATCGATTAATCAAATCATTCAACAGCAGTACATCATTTGTTTGAACCGATGCTTCGTTACCATCCAACCAGTATGACCTATGGAATGAAGAATAATAAGGGAGAAGGGTCACTTACCTGATAACCTTAATGCACTAAGCAGACATTCTGGATCAAGGCGACTACACCATGTGTTAACATCATACCGTCTCAAACAGCTGGCTATCTTGCAAAGATATGGCGGCATCGGCGAGACAGGTTCCTTGCGGTTTTCACTGCCCTGCGTCATAATCAGCCATTACCCCGCTGGTAACTCAAAACCGAACACACCTAAAAACAGGCAGTCAGACTAGGAGACGGCAGCAGACGCGCCACTGGTATCGGCTACGAGCCATGTCCCGTGAAGTCTCGAGCTAATCACAAGGCAGGTCACGTGGACTGCAGCCCAGAAGGCGACACGGACCAACGCCACTCAGTTTGGTCGTCAGTGACTTCCTTTCCCTCTGCTAAGTCAACTTCCATCCACCGCGAGCTTTGTGCCACCCTACACCTGGCAGACTAAACAAGGACCTCCTAGGTAAGCGGTGGCCAGGCATATGTAGCACGTGCCCAAGCCAACGCAACTTATTCAGTGCTATCTTTTGTTCTAGGGAGCTAGCATGATTATAACTATCTGGTACTCGCCTACGCATATCATCGTCGCGGACACGCTGGTGCGATCCGCCACCAGCAATGCTACGCAGACCACAATGACCAAAGACTTGAAGGCGCCGTATTCGCAGTTGACCAGATGTCTGTACCGAGTTCGACGGGTACCGCTCCTACCGAACTAGACAGCCTGAATCGCACTGAAGATGTACCTCGGCTGCTGGCTGGTCTTGACGGGACCAAACCTGCTGGGCGAATTGGAATCCACTCACTGATCCTGAAGTCTTTATCGACCATCATCTCGCCTTTCTTGACTGAGGTGTTCAACAGGTCACTATTCACTCGCTCACTATCGAGTGACTTGGAAGGCTCAGGCGTAAACCCAATACCGAAAGATGGTGACCAAATCAAAGTGCACAACTACCGGCCCATCTGCCTAACGGCTGTTTTGGTTAACACTTAAGATCATCAAGAAGGGTCTTCTGCAGCTTCTCGAGTCGAAAATCCTTTTGACTCCCGCACAGCATAGTTTCTTGAAAAGTCGCTCGTGCATCACCAATCTACTGTTGACGAGGCACGAATGGTTGCAAGCTTTTAACCAATGGAATTTGGTCGATGACACATTGAGTTCAATAAGACTTTTAATAGCTTATGATGTCCCCCTCTACAGACTGAGGGTGTGCGGTGTCGGCGACTCACTGCACTTATGAATCAGGAAAATCATTGTTGGTCGAAAGTAAGGCTCCAGGTCGGCAACCATCTGGCCGACTGGTGTCTTTTGACCGTTGGCGTGTCCCAAGGCATTGTACTGGGACCCGCTTTGTTCTTGTTTCATATAAACAATGTGCCCCAGCTTCTCCGTTCGTCTTGTGCGTTCTTTGAATAAGACTATGGTGTGAAGTGTAATCAGCGCTCCCGATAACTGAGCTCTTTCATCGAGACTTTGAGTGCCTCCCTATATAGTCAGCAGAGGCCAATTTTCCGATAAACCCGGTCAAGTCGCTATCCATGCGGTTGGGTAAGGGTGTACACGGTCGAACCTACCCTGTGACCGATTAGCCGTTGCATCCCGCTCCTTTTTTAGAGACCGGTGTATTCTCACCCTGCTGCTTAATGTCCATAGGCATCACGAATGGGCTATAGCAAAACGGACCTCGAATGCATTGGGCGCTCGAGTGCAGGTTGAACTGTTTGTTTAAAGAAATTGCCCCTTACCTCTTTGTCTTAAACTTCTGACCAGTGCTCACCTCCATACTGTCTTATCACCTGGGGCAAGGTAGTAGGAATTGAGGGGCTACAGCATGTGGCCACCAGGTTGATCCCGTTTACAAGGTGTGCTGTATGATGACCGGTGTAGGAGACCACGGCTTTACACCCTATGTTATTGTCTATTGCTGGTTGATTTCATCACGACGCACCGGATAGTACATCTTGATGATTATCCATTGTTGACGCTGCTGCTTCATATGCGCGCACGTAGCATCACATGAGGACACGCCCACAAACTTGTGGTACCGGGTTTGAAGCCGGTCGCTCACTAACTGTTACGAACGGAGAGTGATGAATATATGGAACGACTTACCGCAGCACGTAGGTGAATCCAAATTGGTCTTGGAATTCAAAAAATTCCCAGACAAACTGACGATATGAAATATCGTGAATGATCACCAACACAATTGGTTGGTATACCTGATGGATTTTAGTTGCAGCTACACTGATAGATATCTCTTAGTGTTGCTTTTATCCAGCATTTAGTAATCGCGGATGCTGTAATCATTTTATTTGTTTTGGACATTTCATGCAACAATTTCCCTTCAAAAACTTAAAAACCGGAAGTAGGAAAGACATTTCAGCTGTCAGCATATTCTGAATTCAGTTCATTTCACGTACTCTCATCCAGCCGCATACTTACTAATAGTGAAAACCTTAAACAAACGGAACTGCAGGGGTATCAATACCAAGAATCGATAATCGGCTGGGGCAATGCCTCTACAGGGAAATTCACATCTTACCATGGCGGAGCAAAACTGGCCACAGGTTCCAGTTGCTTGCTTAGGTTTGGCTTTAGGCGCCGGAGGGCAAAGGCTTTAGCAAATCGGTGCAGATACGGATTATTTTGCCTGCTAAGAATCATGAATGCTCTCTGTGGTGTTTGACAGATTGCACATCCTAACAAGTGGCTAGCAACTGGGCTAGCAGGTAAATTCCGCACCGGTCGAAGCTAGATTTCTCGCGATGTGCTCCAAAATCCTGATTTACAGCCTCTCAGTCCGGCAGATGTACATGCGACTGCACGTAATGATTCTTTCGCATGTTTGCCGCCTGCTGCCAACAGAAGTCAACTTTTTCTTTCAGACCATTCTACCCTCTTACAATACCTGCAGCTGTTTTATGCTGGTGGAGTCATTTTGAAGTTTGGCTGGGGATGCAAACTACTGTTCCTTATTTTGCACCTTTCGATACGTTCCTTGCTTTCAGTTATTAGTGGCTGTTTCTCATCCTGTTGTTTCCAAATGCGATTTTCCGTAATCCACGTTGGGCGTCTACAATTTTCCCCTCTAGATTTGCACGCTTTTTCTTGGTCGGCCGGGTGATGTTGTTGGGTTGCTTGGCCTAATCACGGGTGAGCCGAATGTGTACACTTTGAAAGCGACAAAAAACAGCGTTGTGGCCTCATTGTCTCGTGAGCACTTCTACGCTCTCGTGCGGAAACATCCGATGACGTTGTGCAGTGTGATTCAGCTGATTAGTGCACGCGTTTCTCCCCTTTTGCATCAACTGGATTTTGCCATTCAGTGGATTACAATAATGGCCGGCAAGGCGCTTTACAAGTGAGTCCGAGTGAGACCATACCATTATGTTCGTTTGTTGAGGCAGCTTTCGCTTCGCCGTCTAGTGTATCGCGCTGACGCTTTACCATGGGTTCCCTCATATTCCTGATCTCTGCGAGCAACTATACCAATCATACCACCACCTGACCGATTCTGGCGTTCCCGTTATTTTCATGCGCTTTGGCTATTCAGTTGGTCAACTACTCTGAGTATTCACTCAGTTATACCTGGTATGACAAACACCGCCCAAAGAGACAGCAAGTCGACAGGTATGTGGAGGATATGACCCAGCCAGTTCAGTTCCGATTTCACAAAGCGTTCCTGAAGACCTGTTGTCAACTTAGCTGTCATGCATCAAGTGCTCACGTCGTGTTTCAACTAGGCCCGATAGATACAGCACAGACGTTAACCTAATGTATATTACTGTGTGAGCCTGATGAAGAAGTAATCAAAAACAATTGTTTGCTCAAGGCTTCGTGTTTTGTTTATCTTTCGAAACTTGACAGCATAAGAACCAGTGGTCCGAGGCTACCAGTCTGCTATTGTCCTTAGCAAATCGTGGCCCTGGCGCTGACATGCGTCAGCACTAGCCACACTTCAGTATCGTACACCTGGCCTTGTCTGAAGAGCTTAATAAACACGAGTATCTCGGAACCACGCAGCTATTTATAGGGTACATTCATCTAGACGTGCTAGCCGAACGGCTACATTGAATGGTTGTTCATTTTGCGGACAAGTGGGTACAGGATATCGATATACCAGGTGGAATCAGTTGACTCACCGTATGATGATGACTAACATGTTGAGTTGTTCTCTCTGGATTTTCAGTACAACAACAAAGTCAGCACATTTTGAAGGGAATTAATCCCGCTAAATCTAAAAAATTTTCAGGATTCATGTGTGTGAGGCTTAACTCGGCTGTCGTTCCGTGCACCGATCCGTGCTCATTATCACTGACGTTCCCGGCCAGTTCCGAACATTCTGGTCAGACATTTTTTCATGGGGTTTCCGACAACGAAATTAATTTCATTTGTATTGTCTTCCTTACTTCAGTAAATCGGATGCTTAAAAAGCTCGTCACCATCCGGACGTTTGAGGCTGTGCGGCCGCCAATTTATTTCCGACTGAATGTTGAACCATAGTACAGTCTGTTCGCTGCGCACGGCGAAGATTTTGTTTAGGGCACGGGATTGTGCCCAACACGTACCAACCGATTCTTTTCCGACTATTTTATAATTTCGCAGACAGTAGCAGCGTGAACCCAGTGTTCACAGGATAGGATGTCCCGTATGTTGACACCGTTATTTTTCTGTTGATAATGGCAATTAGCAACGTCCTTTTCGCCGAATGCAAATGTGGTAGTGCTTAATTCGACTGACAACTCCACTTTATTCGTTCTGTTTTCCAGTTTGTTCCTCTTGCTCTCCGTTTGATCACCACACGTTTTTGAACCCTTACCATCGTTCACGTTCGCCCGCGTATACTTGTCTTGCTCTATCAATTTTTGTGCTTACTGTGGTTAGGACTTGCATACGATTTGCTATTTTCTGACATGACTACTCCATCGGCTAGGAGCCGTTTAAGCGTATGATGTGCGTTACTTCTGGCTCTCACACTGCCTTTTTTCCGATTGCGAACACATCGCATGGCCGGTTTTACTTAATCTGTGGCTCTCATATCCACCGAACTGTTTTATAAACCACTCCGTTGGATCTTCTTATCAACTCACTTGGACTCGTGGATGTTAGAAACACTCCTGAAGCACATTGAACGTCCGTCTTTTGTTACAGTACAGGACGTCCACGCTGTATTGCAAAAATCAATTCTTGCGTAGGCGAATGTTTGACTTTGATAATCAACGACGCCGACAGTATCAACAACAACCTACAACACATCGATCATTTAAACTGGGGCTTCCCTGACGTAGGTAATAAATATTAATAAGAGGGAGAGAATCGGGACCTGTCGTAAAAACTTAACTCTCAAGCAACCATTCAGTGTTAATTGCGCCTGCACCTTCTCAACAATATACCGTCACAACAGGTGGCTATCGTGCAAAGCGAAGCGACATCAGCGAGACACCTTCCTTGCGGCTTTCACTGCCCCGCGTCATAATTAGCCATTACTTCGCTGATAACTCAGCACTAAACACATTTAAACAGGCAGTCCTTCTAGGAGACGTCAGCACACGTGCCACTGGTGTCGACTGTGACACATCCTATAAAGTCTCAAGCCAAGCACAAAGCGGATCACGTGGACTTCAGCCAGAAAGGCGAGACGGACCGACGGCACCGAGTTTGGTCATCAGTGACTTCATTTTTCGCTGCCAAGTCAACTTTTGTCCACCTCGAGCCTTGCGCCATCCTACATCTGGCAGACAAAACAAGTCCCTCCTAGGTAAGCGGTGACCAGGCCCAAGCCAATCGTAACTTAATCAGTACCTTTTGTTGTTCTTAGGAAGTAGCCTGACTACCACTTTATACCACTAGCGTACGCTTATCATCATTGCGAAATAGTTGGTGCTATTCAACACCTGCAATGCTCCGTAGGCGACCAATATCAGAGATTTGAAAGCACTTGCGATCCGCAGACTGAAGGAGCCAAGTCTCACTATGATAGCTGAGGACTGATCTCACTGTGACCTTCCCCACCGAGGAAACCCCTTTCTGATGCTACAGATGCCGCAGATACAAGAAAGCATTTTAGGTAGCTGCCAATCTAGGTAATTTGATTCACTGCCTCCGGTTCATCACTTAAGGCTAGCACCCCTACAATTAACACCTTCAATGGGACTGCCCTTTTGTGTGTTGCCACCACAAATGATTCACTCCAGTTAACTTGGATGGCCTCTGGCTTCCGGACCAGTTCGAAAAGTGAGATCAGCTGTTTGCAGCGGACCTCACCACCATCCTTAAATAGTGCGGGGTCGAGGGAATCCCGATCAGCAGCACGAAAACGATTAAGGGCTGTGATCACGTTTCGGAGGTCAGCCTCCGACGGCGTCCCCAAACTAATCCCACATCACTTGAGTAGCAACAGGTCTAGAAGCAGGGGGACAACTTAACAGCACTCGAAAGTGCTCTACCCGACTATCCATACGGCGCTCCTTATCGTGAATCAGGACACCCGTCCTGTCTCTGAGTTTCCCACCGACGCCTGGTTTCCTGGACCAGTGTGTCGGATCAGCTGGAAGAGCTTGCGGTACTTGTCTACTGCTCCTGCCTCCTCCATTTCTTGAGCCCGACTGGTACACCAGGCTTCGTTGTCAGTGCGCAGGCTCCGCTTTAGTTCACGCCCAATAGTCCGTCTGCTAATAGTGTGCTCACAGCCGGTCGGGAGGTTTCTTCTGGATTCTAACAGTTTCACCGATCTCCCGGATATCCAGTGACTGGTGCGGTGGCGATTTTTAGTGTTGCAAACGGAGGTTGCTGCATGATATGTGGCGGCCGATACCCTATTCCGTTGAAACTCAGTGTCATTAGGACATGAGTGCGAAACTTCGGTACGCAGTGCATCTTGATAGGCTTGCCTTACCGAGGGCTGAGACAACTTCTCTGTTGCCAATTTAGGGTGACCTTTGTTCGCCTCCCGATAAATTTCCTAGAAAAATGACAACGTTCCAATGCATGATTGCTCGACGCAAGTATTCCAGTAAGGGCGACAATCCAGGATGGAACCACGCCACCTGTAAATTATGACACTGATCAACTTGTGTCTATCACTGATCAGCTACAGGAGGACGCCAAGTGGCACTTCGGCGCCCACTGTGTCTAGAAGCAGTACTACTAAGAAACCGCTGGTGCTCCGCACACAGTTGCAGCAGACGCGTGCCGTTGTCAGTCCGTTCGGAGTTAAGCACATGTTTACCACCTAGTTGAGCTTTTGAAGAGCTCAGACGCATTACTGGCGCGTTCACATCCCTTGTAAGTACTATGGTATCTGAACTGGTAGCACTGTGTAGTAGCGTGTTCAGTTCGTGGTGAAATGTGTGCTTGGCAGCCTCAGAGCTGCAGTCGGTGGGAGAGTAAGCGGAAACCACAAACAAACAGCGTCTTGTACTACTTCGTGATAGTTGTTATCGTCAAGCGGGCTGCACACAAACGGCTGCTCACTGGAATCCAATCAATCAGCTTTGAACGATGCCAACCCCAGCTTGTCCAGTGATTGCCGCACTAGCGTCTCTGCATGCGCGTAATCAATTGCGAGAGCGGAAGTCGAGCACAACTAGTTCAGCAACCACGTATGGGTCGTTGATGGGACTCGGTACGTGCCTGCAACTGCTCCCTGATAAATTTTCTTACCATACGAGCCTTGAACACTCCCAGAGAAACAAAAAGGAGTGGCTCTATGTGAGGCAGTTTCTGACATGAACCCCATGGTGCTGCTGAAATGTAAACGCATGCGTTAGGGCTCTATTGTTAGTGTTGCTGCGGTCAACTAAGCTGGGGAATATCGATGGGAAGTTAGTAATTGAATTAGCGAGTGGATTAAGAGAAACATGTGGGTAAGAAAGTAGGGAGGCATTCACAGTATCGTCTTTCCTTTCTCCGCCTTGCTGTATGCAGTTGATTAGGTAACCCTTTTAAGTGCGCAGCGGCCGATGCAGCATGTGATGTGATAGCCACTTCATTGGTTCCTAGTTGTAACTGGGCTGCGACATTATTAAGCCACTCCAACTTAGTCAGTCGAACGATTAAGGTTCTCAGCCAAAGCCCTTGGCTTTAAAACCTGTCTGCAATACCGCGAGGATATGGCAACAGTCTGATTTTACAGAAGTGGATGCCATCCAATTTTCAACACCAAACGTGCTGACTAGGAGACTGGGTTTGTCTGTCCTCTAAGCATTGATTAACCTTGTAAGCATGACAACCCACCCTGTATAGGTCAGTGGGTCGACAAGCTACGCAGACTGTCGCACCGCGTTAAATTGCAGTTTTGTGGCGACAGTATTGGTCGAGTGTTGCTACTCGATGTATCCACTTCACCGCGATTGATTTTTC